TCTTGCACTTTAGCTGTTTTATCGCAGCATTAAGTTTGCAAGGTCTGAATGGTTCAGTAAGTACATTATTTGGTGTTGCGTCTTCCTTAATTTCACCAAACTGCCTTACTTGTATCTTTAAGTCTCTTGAAGACTTTCTGACAGAAGGGTTTTTCTTTTGTTTGTGGGAATAGAACCTCGCAAAGGTTTCTTTTGCTTGTGGGAATAGAACTTCGCAAAGCAGTTAATTTTGCTTGTGGGAATAGAACCTCGCAAAGCAGTTAGCTACTGCTTGTGGGAATAGAACCTCGCAAAGTAGTTAGCTATTTTATAGAACCTCGCAAAGCAGTTAGCTATTTCGGTGTCGGCGTATTGGTTCTTTTTTAGCAATTTGATTTTAAGCATATTGATTCTTTCTTGGGTCTTACAATTTGCTGTTTAAGCGTATTGGTTCTTTTTTAGATCTTTCTCTGTTGTTTTGCAGGTTTCTCAGAAATTTGAAAGTGCGTTTGCTATCACTTTAATAGTTGATATTTGAGATGGACTTGTCGAAGGAAGTGTGTTTAGCTTGTAAGGTGGCTTGCCTTAGGACAGCTGATTGTCGTCTCCAGGCTTGTACGTCTTCCGTTCTTCCAGTCTGATCAGCAGTGTTGCGAAGGGCATCCCGCTTTCTTTTCAGTTCCTCAAGGTGTTTAGGCCAAAACACTCGATAGTGTTTAGTTTTGCCTCGGGGAATAGTTTTCTTTGCACATGTGATCATAATATTCGTGAAATCAGTGCAAAGTTTGTCAGGATGTTGGTTGAAGTTGAGGGGACTTGTGTGAAGTTCATTCTCCAAAAGGTTTGTGAATCTTGGCCAGTCAGCCTTCTTGAAGTTCCACGATAGCTTAGTTGATACTTTTGTTGTCATGCTTTTGCTGCATAATACTAGCAACACTGGTTTGTGACCAGAACCAGGATCGTCAATTATTTTGCCTGGTTTGTGACCAGAACCAGGATCTTCAATTATTTTGCGGCGTGTATGCTCACTGATGTCGCTCGAAGCCAGGAGTAAGTCAGGAGTTGTTCCGGTTCCATTGTAGTGCAAATTTGCCGGATCCTCATTGCTGTAAATAAGTTCCAGAGGGTTGCTGCTATCCTCATTCCTATAAATAAGTTCCAGAGTGTTGCCGGATCCTCATTGCTGTAAATAAGTTCCAGAGGGTTGCTGTTTAGCATGTCTTCGATTTCCTTTCCAGCTATTTTTGTACCCTTGTAGCCCCATCTGGTGGAGTAGGCGTTGAAGTCTCCTAATATTATAGTTTGGTGTGAGATGTTCAGAAAGTCAAAATTTGGACAATTCTGGGGTGGATTACAGACTGCATATATCTTGAAGTGGTTTTGACATTTCCAAACATTTAATCTGATTATTTCACATTTGTCATGTGTCGAGCCCGTACCCTTGATTAGATCGTAGAGTGAGGCGAGGCCTTCTTTTACTCCAGTTAGATTTCCACTTGCAACTTGCCGGTATTTAGGTAGATTGTACAGAGTGTAACCTGGGAATTGGTAGTACTTCAGTTTGTCATCCGAAATGTTAGCTTCCATTATTGTGAAAATATCTACATCATAGATTTGCAGGATTTTCTGTACTTGGATCTATTTGTCCGGAGACATTCCTCCAGCATTCCACTGGAGGATCTGAAGACGTTGTGATTCGCCCTGACGAGGGCGATTTTTTTATTGCCTTTTTTGTCGCCCTGACGAGGGCGATTTTTCTTATAGCCTTTTTGAAGCATAATAAATCGAAGTCAAATCAAATGCCGAGTGATAGACAAATCGAAGTCAAAAACGAATGCCGAGTGATAGACTTTTTGCCGTAAGAAAGTACGTTGTCCAGGGTGCCCCACGTGGAGGTAAGTCTATCGCGCACCCATCGTTTGATAATAAGAATTTGTCAATAGCTGTCTCCAATACAATATAAATTGGCAATCATTTTGTTGCAACAGTTACATGAAACTGGGAAAAAATATTGTAACTTGACTTGATGAATTCGAAATCTTTTCAACCCAGTTCATAAACTTTGAACACTTTTGATTAACAATGAAGTAAATGTCTAGGAGGTTACTCTGTCATCTCCATTCAACTCAGGAATAAGCGAGTGCACATAAAGATGACGTGAAATCGCCACAGATTGTTTTAATTCGATTGCAATGAAGAAGAAGGGAAACGAAGGTGAACACACAATCAGCAGAAAATGGCATATGATGTGAATGATAGATCTGCATTTATCACTTCTAATTACCATCTCCACATTTTTCAACGCTTGCAATGAGACAGATGAATGTTAATGTCTTAAATCTGTTAGCAAAATAATAATTTCAAAGGAAATTTAACTGATTTATCTTAATCTTATCTCAACCGTGGGAAAGGTAAACTGTTAAGAAGGCAATCTTAGTAGCAATTGAGTTACGCAGGGGTTCTGAAATGGAAATTTCTGTTACACAGACGAGCAAAAAAGAGCTTGACTATCCGTATCATTAGGGGAATGGTATTAAAATAAAATGCTTATTTGTGATAATTCCCATTGTGAAACACGCGTTATCGTATACTAAGCTATTGGGTTAGCAACTAAGTCATTGTCGTTTTTTGTTGACGGATTCACTCTATACATTCTTTTGTTTTGTTAACGTGGCCAGAGCATCTAGCCTATATTTTTTTCCTACTGTATGGGCTTCTAGGTTAATTAGTAAAAAATTTTTTTGTTTAGTTCTTTAGTTTTGTTTTTATCCAAATTTAAAAATGAAAGAACAGGACGTGCACTTCCGAAAAGCCAAGAACCCATCGCAAGCACAAAAGAAGTTATGTGCCGTATATGGAGATGAAGCCTTAAAAGAAAGGCAGTGTCGAAATTGGTTTGAAAGATTGCGTTCCGGTGATTTTGCACTGAAAAATTCACAACGATCTGGCCGCCCAGTCGAAGTGGATGAAACCCATATCAAGGCCATTATCGATTCAAATCGTCACAGCACAACACGAGATATTGCAGAGAAGCTCAATGTGTCGCATACATGCATTGAATAAAAATTAAAAAGCCTTGGTTATATCAAGAAACTTGATTTATGGATCCCTCACTAGTTAAAGGAAATTCATTTGACGCAACGGATTAGCATCTGTGATTCGCCACTGTAACGCAATGAGAATGATCCATTTCTGAAGAACCTAGTTACTTACTGGCGACGAAAAGTGGATAGTTTATAACAATGTTACTCGCAAGAGATCATGGGTGAAGCAAGATCAACCAGCCCAAATAGTATCAAAAGCAGAGATTCACCAAAAAAAGATTATGCTGTCAGTCTGGTGGGGGGGATCACAAAGGAATTTTGAATTTTGAACTCATGCCACAGAACCAAACGATAAATTCAAATGTGTATGTTGAAGAACTCGAAAAACTGAAGGATGCAATTGAAGATAAGCGGCCGGCATTATCAAATCGGAAGGGTGTTGTTCTCCATCATGATAACGCAAGGCCCCACACATCTTTGGTTACTCGGCAAAAATTATTGGAACTGGGTTGGGATGTTTTGTCACACCCACCATATAGCCCTGACCTCGCGCTTTTGGATTACCATTTGTTTCGTTCCATCCAAAACTCTTTAAATGGTAAAATTTGTAACAACGCGGATGATGTCGGATCACACCTAATTCAGTTTTTTAATAGCAAAGACCAGACATTTTACGAACGGGGAATTTTTACTCTGCCAGAACGATGGAAAAAGGTCATCGACAAGAACGGCCAATATCTAATTGAATAAAGTTATATTTTTAAACAAAATTCCGAATTTGCCGTCTTATTTGAAATCGACAATGACTTAGTTGCCAATCTAATAATAAAAATAAAAGAAATAATAATAATACTAATTCAGTGTTTGAACTATTCAAAGACGCTTTTACAATGCGTTGTTTGCCAGAGAACAGCAGAAACATCTCAATCATTTGACTGTCAGCTTGCTTAATTAAATTCATTTGCTAATGATAGGTTTTTATACTTTCACACCACCACGTCAATCCCATAACGGAGACTTATTTATTAAAATTACATTTCACACATTAGTTTGACTTGACTGGGTGAACTTAAATCGCATTTTAATTTACTCAATAACCATTATTTCATTGAATTTCATTGGATCGACTTTCCATTCCTTCCAGTCCTCTTGCCAACATCTGCTCAGCATGACCTCGTCAATAATCCCACTATTAAAACGCAAATCCTTAATGTGACATGAGATCTAATTGAAATCATGCTGGAGGAGGCAATAGAAGGGAGCTAAACTACTCCTCAAATGGTTGTCAACGTGGCCAATCTTTGACAGAAGATTCATTTTAGACTTTTTACTGTTTGAATAATTTACTCGATCAATCTATTGAAACCAACAGTAAAGATTAAATTTTTAAACGTAATTCCTTAAGATCTACTCGCAAAGCTAATTAAATTTTAAATTTAAATATGATTGGAAGGTTTTTTGAGTGAATTGAAATGTGATCAAACGTAACAAATTTAATCGATCACTTTTATATCACAGAAGGAGTCATATGTAGTTGGTAAGTTGAAAGAGTTGCAACAATTCAAGCTCTGAGATGCGTTTATTGAACCATTTGAATATCACCACGCAAACAAGTACCAGAAATGCGAAGAGTTGCACGTGGGAATAAGTTTCAAGTTCAAATTTTGAATATAATAGATGACTTCTGCATATGGAACAACGATGGCGGACGAGGGTTTGAATCTCCAGCTGAACATCTGCTGTGCCAAGACGAGTTTGGGTACCTTTTTAATTTTGCTCTATTTTCATTGATTTGAGAGAACCCTTGTTTCACCGACTTTATCATTCGTTCGAATAGTGAAGCCTAACTATTCCAAAGATGATAAAAGTCTGATGATCAAGGCACCTCACTATCGTTTACAATGTTTTGCTCACTTGAAATTATGTGCTAATCTTATGTTTCGAAAAATAGTCTTTATAAATGCTCATTAATGTTGTTGAACCAGTTAGTAATGAAAAACAACCTTTGCTCTTCTGTAAGAATATATCTTGCTTTAAGGGCACCTTTGATAAGTTGGAAGAAAGTGACTACTTGTTGGCATGGTGATATTTGTGGTCTTAAGCCTACTTGTTTGTTTCTAAGAATGTTGATGGTTTCAAAGAACCAGATCAGCCTCGTGTTAACCATTTTTTTCCATAAGTTAAACAGGCATGCTTGTGAGAGAGACAGGCCTGTGGTTGTCAAAATTTCTGAGGTCATTGCCTCTTTTTAGTATTGAAACTGTAACTAATTAATTGTGCCATTGATGCACAGCTGAAAATTCGTCTGCGTCAATATTGAAGCAATGATTGAAGAAATACGGGTAGCAGGTGTGGGCCGAAGCAGAACAATTTTATCATTTGAAAGCATTCGTCTTCATACACATTTGAATCACAAGAAATGGGAATAATGAAATGAATTGGTTAGGCATCAATAAGACCGGTTGAAGAGGCAAGAATGTGGTATACTGAGAGGCGTTTTGTGAAATAGTTCTCAATGCAGAAGTGGTTGGATGAGAGGCTTGGCCAACATCTCGCCCAATTCCAAAGTCCAACTTATCACAGAATACTTTGGAGTGTTTGGGTAAGAAGTAAAAGAGGAATTTGGATCTTCACTTGCACAAAGCTGAAATAATTGTGATCCGATATCACGCCGTCACTTTGATCTTAATGAGCTAATTCACGTCTAGTATTGGTGCGAACGTCGGTCTTCAAAAACAGACTTTCAATCACGCTCTAACCTTTAGTGCCATTAAATGGGATACCCACACATTCCTTTCCTTTACTCAAACACTCCTCCTTCATTTACTCTACCATAAAATTTCCTCCTCCAGTGGTCTTATAAATGTGAATATACACTATTTACTATCTCAAACCTCCTCTTCATTTTGATGCTTTCCATGATTGAGAGCTACCGATGCTTGTAGTCTACCTGGGGGATTTGAATAAATTAATAAGTGGAACACGCAATTGATTTATAAACTCCATTGCTCAATTGGTAGGATTAAGCAGACATCAACTTCAAAAGTGAAGAGAATGAGAGAAGGCAAATTGAAGTCAAAAATTAGCACAATGGGGAAAATGGAGGTGTCAAAGTATGCGGCAATGTTGGGAGGGGTGTATTAGCATTGACATAAAGACAGTTCAACCATAAGCCGTGTAAGCAAGTGATCCACGAGTACTGTAAGTGGCAGTTTTAGGCCAGAGGATAGAAGTTGAGGCACGCTCTTAGAGTCAACTCAGGCTAGCGAAGCAAACAATCATGACAAGCTTCCAAAGGAAAAAAGGAGATGTTAACGCCCCATTTGCTCCATTTTTACCCTCACACTGAGGTCCCACAACCCATTTTCACCACTTCTGATCAAAATGTCTGCTCTCTGATCTTTATCATTGGCACCAAAGATATCTGTGTGGGCTCAGCCGGGATTTGAACCCGGGACCTCTCGCACCCAAAGCGAGAATCATACCCCTAGACCACTGAGCCACACCTGCCCCCCTCCATCCCTCTCACAAACTTTACTAAATTCTTAAATAAATAGTGCAAGTCGGATTGAGTATTGCTTTGATTATTTTCACTCAAATCTAAGATTAAATTTCGAAATCACTGTGGTCCAAATTAAATAATGCTATAATGAGAACAAAAGGTAAATAAAGAGAAGAACACGTGATGGCATAATACTACCTTGTGTGCTTATTACTATGTGTCACCCGTATTGACTTAAGATTCTTGACTGAAAAACTTACAAAATCTCGGTGGAATTCATTATTTCAACACACCGCGTGCCAATTTATTCATGAATTTGTAGAAGTGATTGTCATACGTGGTGGTTCTTTCATTATCGCAGTTCATGCTCTCGCAGTAAATACCATTTTAATTGAATTGTATATATCACATCTAGTGCCAATTATTACCTCAAATCCACCTGTTTCCACGGCTTATTGAATGTCCTTGATTAATACTGTAGTTTATCTTAAAATATCTTCGAGTTACTGTGAAATCGATGCAGATCAGTGAACTCCATCGTTACGTTTGTTCAATAAATATAGTAAAATTAGTGAAGTAGTATGGTGTTATGTATTAAGTTTCTAGAAACGGTGATGCACTCTCTTTCGTTTCCGATATGGCAGCAAATTGGCTCTATTGCGTTCCTAATAATGTAGAACGATTTTACGTCAACTTTCCTATTTCAATATCATTCATGGATTTTCTTGAATAAGCATTTGCCAAATACG